TATATGGTTTCTCTTGGAAACGAGCTGGTTTAAAGCACTCAGAAAATAAAGAAAGTTGCTAGACAAGCTGATTAAGTTTTTAGTGGAGATTATCAAACTTGGCTTTCCTAGTACTTGTAAAACAGTTTTATGCCATTTAAAAATGAGCTTTATTTTAGGCTGTTTTATTCTTGTAAAATGATTATAGCCTCGTGTATGAAAAATAAAAGACTCAGTGCCCTTCCCAGTTAGGTTTTGATAGAGACGCAATTTCCCTTTGTCCTATTCCATCTTCACTATCAGCCTACTTTTTTGCCACATACAGAAGGGTAATAGAAAAAACCAACAATGAATGCTCAGAGAAATTAAACAGAAGTAAATTTTTGGAGTGAGAAAATGGTTTGAATTCAGCTTAGGGTGAAATTAATTTTATTAATTTTGGCAAAACATATTCCTTGTGACTTGCATCTGCACTTTTTCTTTAGAAGTTATTTTTTGCCTTAGATAACTGCTGGATGTCATACAGAGCCCACACAAATGTTGTAGTTTGTTAGCAGAAATTTTAAAAATTAAAAATGTGTCAAATAGTCAGTAGGTCACAAAAATGGTCCTATGCTCTGCTCTCTGTGGCATATCAATCATGATGTATAACGTAGTTAAAGGTGACTAAGCAGCAAGTTGGTTAATGTTTATGAGATATTTCATCAGTTCCATGACTCATCTAAACCAGTTTTGTCTTCCTAGTAGAGATTACCAAAAATCTCTAGTGCCTATCATCTCACTTGTTAAAAGTCCATTTTTAAGTCAAAATTATTTGTTTGGGTTTTTTTACCAAGCGAGCACTTGAAATTGCTACAAACTGAACTGATCACCAGACTTTGGAGTTTCAAACAGCATAGCAATTACATTTTATAAAATAATCATAATCCATGAATATTAACAAAAATCCTCTGACCTTATCCATTCCAGTCCAACCTTCTCTCACCTCTCTTAGAATTTTTTCTTGGAAGCAATGAAGATACAACTGCAAGATACTCTTTTGTTGTAATATGTTGCTGAAGGATCTTACCATAGAGGACTAGTGAAACCTCTACTGCAGAGTTTAAAGCCTAAACCACTCTCCTATGATAGTTAAGGAAGAGAAACAAATATGCACCCTTCTGTGTAGTTCAGAGTACCAATCCATCGACAAAGGAAGAATTCAGAGCTAAATTTCTCAAATAGCCTTTCAGATACCCTTTATAATCTCTAAAGTAATTTTAATTTATCTGCTTCAAGGAGGTTAAGTTTTCTTATAAACTTATTTCAGTTATTTTGGTAGCCCTGCTTAATAGAATCATGGAATCGTTAAGGCTGGAAATTCATCTAAGGCCATTGAGTTAAATCATTAACTCAGCACTGCCATGCTCACCATTAAACCATATTCCCAACAGTCATATCCACACACTCTTTGAAAGGTTCCAGGGATGGTGATTCCACCACCTTTCTAAGCATCCTGTTCCAATGTCCTGCCACCCATTCAGTAAAGAAATTTTCCCTGATATCCAATAGAAACTTACCCTGGCTTAGATGAATTACACCTGTTCAATGTCACACTTCTCTGAAATAAGAATCAGAGCAAGATCTGGCAGATATTTAAACACAATCTTCTGAGTAACCTTGGCTGAAATCCTTATGCAAATAAAGGAAATAGTATATATCAATATATCTTCTTTACTGGGATGCATTCTGCCTGTTTTTAATGTAAGCTGTACTTTAAAAAAGAGACAAACAGCTGATTGTGGCTCTTTGTTAGAGGTAATGTAAAAATGACATGTATAAACATGAATTTAGATACAAGCTATTTATTCATTCCACTGAATGCACATCCCTGTATAATTTCATAGACTTTCCCACTTCGTTCACAAAAGAGATTGAAAAAAAAATGAGGTGTGTGCTCACTGATTGAAAAAAAATGAATGCTCATTGATTTACACAAGGATCTGTGAGACTTGCTTGTATACTTCTTGAAAGCTACTTTATTTAGAAGTCATCCAGTAAGGAAACAAAAGTAATGGGATTATGTTTTAAGACACTCAAATAGCATCTGTGAACAGTGAATTTTCTAAATAATCATTTGTGAGCTGTAAATCCGTATGATTCAGTAAGTTCATATGGAACATCCAGTGTGTAATGAGGAACAGATAGATTCATAGATGCTGTAAATCAATGCAGACCTACCAACTTCTATAGAACAACAGGTTAGCCCCCGTAGAGGAGCTGGCTTCAAATTTCAGAAAACAAACAGAAAAACCTTTTCCTGAGAATAGTTTCTGTAATTATTACCAGGAGATATCCCTGGGTTTCTAAGTATAACAAACTGAACCTAAGGAGAACTCCAATGAGTGCCATAAATAAAGACATATCTAGTTAGGAAATGGACCAGAATAATTTCATGGACTAGCTGTGTTTTCCTATGGAAACATGCAGCAGGTGTCTCAGCTCTCTGTGAGTGCTCAATATGATATTGTCATTACTTTTTCTACCAGAACCTTGGACAGCAGCAAATTTATTTGAATAACTCCATTAAGCCATTGCCTCTAAGCCTGCAGGTCTATGATCTTCTTCCAAGGACCTGTGTAAATTATGCGAGTAAATAAAACCAGCTAACAAAAATCTTCGCATCTTGTTAAAAGATAAAAAAAAAAAGAAAACATTCCTGAACATTTCCCAAAATAACTACTAGGCAGTTTTATCCATGCTATGGCAAACGTGAATGCTCTCATCTGGTCCTGAACACTACCAGTTCCTGTCCTTGTCCAGTATTGGAGAGAAAAACATGCAGAAATAACGGGTCCATGGGTCCAATCTGAGTAGTCATGGTTGAATGCTTGGCAAATATTGGATTATGGAAATCAAACAAATTTGTAAATGCACTTGAAACCATTATTTTGCTGAAAAATAGATTTATTACTATGTTTTGCCCTGGCTTATGTGTGAAAACTTTCATTAGCATCATCTTCTGAAACTGATCTTTCAGATGGTAACTCAGATTTCACACCCAAACAGCTGCACTTCAGGAGGTCCTAATACGGTCCTTTTTGATTTTTTTTTTTTTTTAAATACAGGCACCTACAGTCTGATGAATCCTACGAACAAGTTCACAGCTTTGTTCACAAAGCCTCCACAGCTGCTGGTGGGGCAGTAACACGTAACCTCTGTGCCTTGTCCCTGCAGGAAGCCTCATGTGCCTA